AATTAGTATTCTTCACCCCACAAATATCATCATCCAAGCCTTATCCCAATTATTGGAGTCACCTCATAAATATGATATACTCAAATATGAGGTTGAGTTTCATCATCACTAGCAACGTGACGTCCACGTCTAACACTAGCTTCAAGTGCTCTTGAATCTGATGATGATGAAGTCATCGTCCTCCTCTACATAATAACCTTCTTCCCTTGTCTCATCTGAGTTTGCATCCTCCTCCTCCTCCACTATCATCCGCCTCTTCATTTGCACATTCTCCTTCTCCTTCCCCTTTCCCTTCTTCCTTGCCACTTCCTTCCCCTCACTCTGAGTTTGAGATCTAGTAATTCTCATGGGGCTCGATGCCATACCAGCTGCCTCTTGCACTTGGGTCATGTCAAGCTCTTTTCCTCGAATACAGGCTCATCCCAAGCATTTTGCTTGACCAACCATTCGCCTGTTGGATTTAAATCTTTCACAACTATGGGGTCTGCATTTGAAACCGCTTTAGATGATGCTCCTTCAGCTTCTAATTATACTGAATGAAAACAAGGTCATTTAGTCTCTTTTGCTCCAGTCTATTTTTCTTCTTTGTATGTACCTATTTCATAATACATCATTGCACTATTAGAAATCGTTACTTACAAAAAATATTGAGAAAGTTAGTGTAGTAGAATGATAGGAGATTTGGGTAAATGGAAAATTTACCATCTCGAATGTGTGCTGAAATTGTGCTCGCAGCCAGATGATGTAGTTGTGCCATCCTTTGCAACTTGGGGGCACTTTGTGCATGGCTGGCTCACCATGAAGCTATAATACATTAAAAATGGATAGAGTGCATATATATGAGTACATTTAGAATTTAGAAATTTTAGAGTCAAGTTAAATATGAAGTAAGAGTAATCATTGATTCATAAAGCGGTCTGCTCAGCACCTAGGCGATTGCTTAGGAAGGCTAGGGAGGGCTGTGTGCGTTGCCCAGGCTTGGGCGGACCAATTAGGCAGGTTGTCCCCGGTTTCCCGCCTAGGGACCCTACGCTGCCTAGTACACCGCCTAGGTGGGCACCCAGGGACTGTATCCTCCTAGGTGCAAAAATAACCATCGGGTGGGGTATTTTTGGTTTTTTTTGTTTGGATTATAAAAAATGTATGAAAGTGCATTTTTCTTATCAAACAAGATTATTGAACACCCGTTGCCCTTTTGAACCTAGCTTTGGTGGCCTAGACCCCACTGGGACCTAGGCACCACCTGGCATTTTTGGAACACTTTTGAGTAGGAATTTAAATGGCAAATACATTTTCAATTGACATGAATATATTTTCGTCCTTTGCCTTATTGCGATGTCCTTCCCAAGTGTCCTCGTAGAGTAATGATACAAGTCAAGTTTCATAGACACTTTGTCTTGGACGTCTAAGTCAGTGGTGAGCCTCACATTACACTTGTTAATTGCTTCCATGAAACAACCCCAGCCTCACCAAGTTAGTCCCATTTATAAACTTTCTCATCATGGCTAAAATATTGGTGTGGCTATATATAAAAACTGTTACAACTTTAGTTTTTTCTAATATCCTATGCACCACTTTCTTTTCGCAATTTTCTCAAGCATGAGATCGATACAGTGAACCATGCAAGGCGTCCAAAAAATGTGCGGCCTTGTCCTCTCCAACAATCTAGCAGCTGCTATGTTCCCCTTAGCCATATCAGTGACAACTTGCACGACATGTGCTTCCCCCACCTCCTTAATGCCCTTATCCACAACTCCAAATATGAAAGTCGCATCATGAATCTTCTCAGATGAGACAGCGGGCGTCCAAAAAATTGTTCCCATGGGATAGTTAACCAATAAATCCGTAACACTCTACGACCTCCTATCGGTCCAAGTATGTCATAACGGTCACCCCACATCTACCCCAGGCATCCTTTTGGGTCTTCAGGTACTCATTTGTTATATCCACCTCTTTTTTCAACAAAGGCTACTTGAGGTCATAAGGTGTAGGGGCCATATATCCTGGGCCAAACTGCCCCACTGTTTCCAACATAGCTTGGAAACTCCTCAAAAAGGCAGTATTTGCTTGAAAGTACCGTAGTGCCACATATTGATTAACCCTCTCCCTATCTTGCTTCTGTAAGTGATTCTTCAGGCTAGTTTGTGCCTGCTCACTTTCGCAATCCACTACCTCAGGATTGGGAAGGAAGAAGAATGTATGAAAATGTCCCTTTCTTCAAGGTTTCTTATGCCCATTGGTACTTGGTCTAGATATGGGGGCCCCTCCCTCGTCATCTTCATCTTTGTCTTCTATTACATAAATATTTGTAGAGGCCCTGATGTCTTCATATTGTTTCCTCGTCTATTCTTTCTTCTTTTGGTCTCCTTCTATAAGATCCAACATCTCTTTCCTAACATCTCCAAGGACTTGAGTACATGGCGCTACATACCCTCTATTGCCGGCCAAATGCTTCTTCAATTGATTAATGCCAACATTATACCTTTATACAAATTTTGCAAGCTACCCTATTCTTGTCATTAGGATTGGGACAATATTCATATTTCCAACCCGGATTAGCACATTTACTTGATCTCGAGGAAGACATTTTCACCAACAACCCTTGGTTAATTTTGAAAATTAGACAAAACCAACAAAGTGAAACTTGAATACATTTAGCAGAAGTGGAATTTTTAGATATATGCACAAAAGCAAGATTAATTGACAACTATGTAGTCTAAATATTTAAAATTTAAAATTGATTATTTAATGAAAATTAAAAAAATGAAAATCAATTAAAAAATTACAAATAGGCAACGAAGTAGAAAGAATAAATACATTGACTGAGTTCTTGACAATCCAATGAAGAAATGAAGCTAGCATGGTCAAGGCAAAAACAGGAAAAAAATAAAATAAAATAATGTAAAAAAACTCTAAGTAAAATTTACTTATAAAAATTGCAATAATTTAAAGCATAAAATTGAAAACAAAATTACGAATCGTTAGTACGTATTCTAAGTCATGCAACAAAAAAAAAAATTAAATTGGTTTGGAAGAAATGGAATTTTCACATTAATTTGGTTCCTTGATCTACATATAATATCAAAATAAGGCCTGCTCATGCAAATATTTAATAAGACAATTAGTAAACTAACTCATGCAAAAATAATTATAGGGATAAAAGTTATGAATCTTACTAGTAAACTCATGCAAAAAAAAAGGGATTGTATACAATGAGACCATTTACCTTTGGTACAAGGAGGTCACAATTACTTATAGCCATCCGATGTGAAATTTGATAGCTTGGGTGTGTCACAAAGTTAGAGAAAATTTCTTTTGAACTTTGAGCTTAGTCAATGAAATAAATGCAGCCACCCAATTTCACATTCAATGGTCAAGATTAATGGTGACCACCTTGTACCAAAGGTAAATAGTCTCATTATGTACTTTCCAAAAAAAATTAATTTGGTTTGGGGGCAGTGGATGTTTTCCATTGAATTGCTTTCCCAAACTAAAAATCAAAATGGGAGAATAATCCACATAGTTGATAACATATCAAATACATATCATAAAATATTAAAAAGGAAAAAAACAAAAAGTAAGGAATAACATCATGATATATTTTACACAAAAAGTACATAACCCTAATTAAAAATATTGAAATATACCAACCTTCTCGAAATTAAATCAATATCAATCGGTAACTTTTGGTTCCCAAATCTCCTCTTTTGCAACTACTATAAGCCTAAAAAAGATTCAGGATGAATATCCTTTAATTTTGTGAGGATTCAAGGAGTTTGAAAAAAATTTCGTTCTCCTGAAAAATTTTCAAACCTTTTCCCCTTTTTTAAGGGGGAAATGACCAAAAACCCTCTCGGCTGAGGGCATTTTCCACCCTCGGCCAAGGGCTTTCGAGGTGCCTATCTATGGCCTACTGCCTAGGCCACGGTTGGCAGGCGGCTGGGCGGTCAAAATACAAATAAATTGTTTCTATTTATGCTGTGGCCGTTAAATTCTATTTCTGAGTTACTCTTTTTTATTTTATTTTAATTGAGAACTTGTTGAAGTTTCATTTTGTGGTTCAATCCAAGGCATTGGTTCCACTATCCAACATACAGTTAGGATAGGCATTTTTAACTATTCTTGCGATATTTATTTTTTGTGCACAACAAAGTTTATTCGAATGACTCAATTACAGATGTTTTCTTAATATACACTGGTAACAACAGGATTTCTCTGCTCTTTCATAGATGCATTAGGGATCACTATTTTGTTTATGCTATTCTCTTTACTATCCTTAAAACCCATTTGATGGCATTATGGACTCACAATGTGATGCAGTCTAGAATACTGTTCTCGAGTATCTAGATAAGAGAGTAATATTAAAGTTTACAAGAGGAACGACAAAAGGGAAAATAGTTATTGAATCATTCCTTTTATTTTATTTATTTATTTTGTGAGTAATTTTATTCACTTAAGGGCATATGTATTCTATTCACTTAAAGCCTTTTATAATGAATGGTCATGATTGGATTAGATAGATGGCTATGATTAAGTCTTTTTAGGTTTTTCTATATAAGAGATGTACTCAAGCATAATGAGTTATCTTGTTATGAACTTTATTCAAAACCTAGAGCAGCAAGTGCTCCTTTTATCTCTAGTTTTTGAAACTTTCTCTAATTTTGGATCTTCCCTATCTTCTTCTTTGCTAAACCCTAACTCCAAGCTACTAGGTCTGCTCCACAATATTACAAAATGTGATCTTCAAGTAAACACAATTTTGCTTATTACTATTCTCTGTTCTCTCTCTATTTTACTATCCTTTATGCTTTTACAATGACATGAACTAACAATATTGCAAATTATGGTCTTCAGCTGATCACAATATGGCTTTATAGTTGTGCATACTTGAGTTATAAATGTAACATGTATCATCATTTGCATCATTCAATTGCTTCATATGTTTTAATACTTTTTTATTAGTTTTTTGTGGCCTCAAATCGAGCCTAAATGTTTTGCAGGTATGCTGCAAACAAATCGATGGACAGTTGTGCATTCTGTAGTGCTGATGGTGACTTTCTGATAGTTCCTCAGAAAGGAAGTAAGTGCTTTTTCCCGTCAGTTTCAGAGTGCATTTCTTGGTTGTTTTTGGAATGTTGGAGATCATGTTGTCCAGGTCATTAAGGTGCTCTCCTAATGTGTTGTCTTTAGTTTCATAACTGTTGATTTGTTTGAAACAAAACCTTTATATGAACTTGGCTGCTCACAGTTCTTTTTCTTTGCTTTTATTTTCTTTATTACATAAGGTAGGTGACTAGAACTCAGTTATGCAAAAATTTGCAAAATTTCCAAAGGCAGAAAAAAAAAGGACTGTTCTTTAATTGTAGTTAAATGCCATTGGGGTCGTCTTCTGTACATATGATACAAGAATTTCGAGGGTGATATTACTAAAGACATCGGGGATTGCAACAAAATAATTTCTCTTCTTGAATATTCTTGTGTGGTTAGGCTTTTAGTTATTAATAATGATCCTTCTCATGCATTTAAATTTTCAAAATTATCACAATCCATGATTTCTCAAAATGGTTATCGAATTCACTTTATTTTTTTATTTCAGAAAAAAAAAGAATTTAGGAAGATGCCATATATGATGTAAGTTGGAATTGAGCTGGGGATGACTATTGTAATGCTGACCTGTAATTTATTACAGCATTATAATAGGAAGTTCTGTAAAAAATTTTAATTTACCTGTAAATTTATTCATAATTTACATGAATAGAAGTGTTAGAAGATTTGTGAATAAATTTCAAATGCACTTCTTTTCCTGTAATTTATCAGAAAAATACGTGGTATTATTCAAAATGCATATACTTCTTAGCATGGAAATACAATTGTATGACCTACAATTGATTACAAGCTGAATTTGTAGCCATTATAAGGCATTTTTGTCATAAAAACTTCATATCCAAAAGATGGAACCGGAAATTCTAGTCTCCCATGACTCAAACCAAGGACATCTGTAGCCTTAGTTTATATATTGCCCACCATTTGATGGCATTATACACTATCCGTTCAAGGTAAACTCAAATTCTGATTAGGTTTAGGATGTGTCGACCACTGTAAGTGCAAAGGCTCTTAGCAGTGTTGCATGGACTATTTAAACTGATACGTCCATATTAAAGCAAGGGTAAAATTAGAAAATCAGGGTTTATGTTGTCAGGTGCCATGTCCTTGGGTAGAAATTGATTGGCTTCTCTTAAAATGGCGAATCAGATTACGTTTAAAAATGCAGGAATTCCTAATTGGGCAGTGAACATAGTTAGTTGGAGTGAGGAAAATCCTGACAGCTACTGCTTGATGATGAGTTTGACTTGTAACAAGTAGAAAATGCCTGCTTGGTGATGTAGGCTTGGTATGATCAATGGTCCTTTTCTCTATTCTTGAGATCTTGTTGCATTCTTCTCTTAGCCCCCCCTATAAGGTAAATGAGGATATGCCATGTCCAGGGTTGTATCTTTCAAAATGTTCATTCATTGGGGTTGAAGCAATGAAGTCCCTAGTTGGAGGTTCTCAACCTTCCTCTTAACCTTTTTCACTTCCTTTTTGAACCCTGGAGACCTATGCAATCAGACAATATAAGAGTAGCTTAAAGAATAAAAGATTATTATGCTCTCTCTGTTTTCCTGTTTTTATGTTGAGATGTTGAATGACTGCAATATATACTCATTCTTTGATACTCCTCAAGCAGAGACATATGCTCAGAGGAAGAGCTTTTCATCAGAGAAACATGCCTTCTTCAGTCAGTATTTTGTGTTCACTAAAATACCTTGTTAGTCCTCAATAAATATTCTTATCTTGATCCTTCTAATGGGAGGTATTCTCTACTATTGTATCAAAATTTTGTGCCTTCATATAAAATGAAGATCTAATTACATGAAGGCTGCATGGTACTTCATGTGTCATAAAATATGTTCAAGATGGAACGGAAAAAGCCAAGGTGATGTGAAGGGAACTGCTAGGCTTCAGCTTTTGTGTGAAGGCATGGCTATCCTTTCAATAAGAGGGGAAGAAGCATGGTCATATAGATGAGGAATCTATGACACCCCTAGAGAATGGCTGCCATGGATTGACTGTTGGAGGTTTTGATGTGATGAATGATCAGGCTAGTTGAGGAGTTAGACTGCAAAGATGGTTCTGCTTAACCAACATTTCAAATATCAATTCCATGTGGGAACATATTGGTATTGGTCTGTTTACAGCAATCCAGGAAGATCTCCGGATGAAATCCTCTCTCATTGATGCTTTCAATTTAATTAATTAAAAATTTCGTAGAAAAGAGTGGGCTTCCGTCGAATTACAACATATGGGAAGATAGATATGTGGCAACAAAACTTCTCATATACTGTCAGCAGAGCCGGCTTGAAATCATATAAAAACCAAAAGAAACCACGAAAAATTGTAAGTACATAGAAAGATATTGAAAAATTAAAAGAAAAGAAAGAAAATAATTACTTATTTGTGAGATGGTCACCTCTGACTTGGCGCGCGGATTAGATTAGAAGTTGAAGTGTCATCTTTAACCCTATAGATTTACTTGAATTTGAGAAGTACCTAGGGCATGTTTTTCCTAGGGTTTTGATTTTCTTAAGGCATGTTCCTCCCAAGGCATTTTGATTTTAGCTTTGAGATTAGGGTTTAATGGTTGTTGAGAATTGAAGGTTTAATGGCCAAGTATTTCTAGGGTTTGAAAGGCCAAGGATGGGGATGACCTAGGGTTTCCTTCTCTAGCCTAAGGATTTTATGAGGTTATAGGTTGTGTGGTTATGAGTTCTTAGGTCATGCTCTAGAAGGCCTTTTATTTATTGAGAACTTCTAGGTTTGATAGGATTAGGATTCTAAGGCTTCTTGATTAGTCAAATCTGTTATTAGAAAGTCCCAGAAGGTCAAAAGAAGACCCAAATCACGTTGCCCCCATTTTCAAAAAATCAGGATTCCGGAATTGATGCTATAGTATGCATCGTTGGGCCCACTCAATTGTTTCGTTGGACTAAGCTGAGCTTTGGATGACTCCGGAGACTGTCCGTTCCAATCTGGTGGCAGTCTGATGTAATTTGGATCAGTTTTGGGCATCACAATTGGTTGTTTTCTGATGTTTCTGAGCTGTTCTTTATAGATTCATACAGATTCAAGTAAAATTTGGTAGTTTCATACTATGGTTCACTAGGCTACAGTGGTCCTTGGGGTTTATTAAACAATTTTGGGATCTTTTCTAAGATTTTACAATTTTATGAAATTAACCAATTTCGAATTGGGTGTCTACAGTTGTTCCTCTTTGGTGCACCCTATTTTTCGAGGAAAAGGTTGCCGGTAAAGAAGTAGACACTTGTAGCAACTTCGGTATTTTCCTTCCCTAATAATGAATGGTCAGAGGGCATTGGTTTTGCTAGAGCATTCCTAGGATGCCATGTCATCCTACTTAATTGTCCAGAATCTTTTTCAATGATATTTTTCGGCATGAGCATTTTTAGGATGCTTCCTTACGTTGTTTCGTCACTAAACTCTGGGTTTTTCTTAAGCATCCTCGAGATGCCACGTCAACCTACTCAGTCGTCTAAGATCTTAGATTTAAACTTTCATCAACGACATTGTTTCCTCATCTCCAAGTGCTAGAGTGCTTTTCAGCTAAATTGTCTTGGTGAACCATCCAACTCCTTCGCTTTCAAAAGTATTTTAAAGATTTTTTTGAAAATAAGGAGAAATTTATAAAATAGAGCATGGTCTCAGGTTATGCTATTAACAGAAAAAATTAAGGTTTTTGAAGCCACAAGACACGAAGTTTTGGAAGCATCAAAATTGGGATTCTCCCGAGATGGAGTTTTGAGAAAAAAATAAATAATAAGAAATAAAACTAAAAAACTTTGAAAAAGGGGGGATTTTTTGAAAAACGACGGGGAGCAATAGTTTAAGCTCTTGCCAACATTTTCTGGAAATTTTTCTCAAAAAGGGTTCTGAAAAGATTTCTTTTTTTTTTTAATTAATTTTGTTTTTTATTTTTTGATGAGATTTATGGGCTTGGCCAACCTTGGTCAGGATTTTGGAATTAGGAGCTATCAAATACTCTTTTGTATTTAAATCTTTGTACTTGTCTTGCAACCCAAAGCATACTTCTTCAAGGTCTTCGAACGAATCATGTCTTAGAAAATGCGAGAACAAGCAACACAAGGAAGGAATGAACATGATATTGGAAAAGACGTGTTTGATGCCTAGATTGCCCTGGGATAAAGGGAAAGAGATGCTTTGTTTGGGCAAGAGGAACCGGATTCTTAACAAGAACATGGGGCAATGTTGACAGTGAGGGTGGTTTGACTTGATTCCAAGGAGGTCTAGGCTGAAGTTCCATCATTTAGAATTGTCTGGTTGGAAAATTTCAAAATCAGAAGACTACATTTAGCCTCTATCTGGGAAAAATAGAAGTCAATGTGGATTTCAAGAAATCCATTGCTCATCATGTGCTAGATGTGAATAAAAGTTAATTGCAATAATGAATAGGGTATGGTTTAGCTCACTGCAAAGCTTATGGAATGGGCTGGATACTATCATATCTGTTAATTTATGACTAACTACTGCAACTGTATAGTGAAAGAGCAAGGGTTTTGAGTTACCCCAATGTGGGAGCCTATCATCATTTGATGAATTGCGGAAAATGTAAGACTCCCAAAACTCAGCCTCAACACCTGATGGGTGTCTCTATTCTAGTTTCTTTTCAGTCAATGAAGAACATTGACAGTTTCACTGTTACTTTATATCTACAATCACCGCCCAACTGAGTTATCTATTGGCATCCTATCTTGTTGGACTGAGTCTTACGGACAGAGCATCTGTTCTTGATCTTAACTTATTTGGATACGTTTGATTGAGTTTGCTAATACTATGTATATCAGTCCAGCTAAGGGTATATTTTGTCATTTTTTAAGTGATATATGCATGGCAACAAGGGAACTGTAGCCATTTATCAAAATGCGCTTAGAAGGTACTTTATCCCATTTCAACCTTATTAAGACAAGTTATTCTCTTTTCAAAACTCTTCAGTATTTGAAAGTCTATTACTCTATTTATTATTTATCTCGAGGCTTCCTAACACTTGAGAACCTGCCGCTCGTACAGAGGGTCATAAGATGCTTCTACATTACAGCTGGTAATTTTGATTGGGACAAACTGCACAATGAAATGATGGCTGGCTGTTCGCTTATTTGATTCACAACAAAAGACAACTTAAGTGCAAATAGAATTAGTGGCAATATAGAATGCTGTTGTTTCTTACTTGACTCGCAAACCCTCTTCTCTGATATAGAATAATGTCCAAGCCTGAACACAAACACTAATACTCTCCATATCTTTCTTAACCCATAAGAGTTTAGTAGACTGATAACTTTTCAAAGTGGGCCGATGATCACATGGACCTTGAGAAGGAGATGCTGATGAAACCAAGAACCGAGTACGCGTTTATGATCCTGACTTGATCCAATCTTTATGGAATATAGAGGGGTCACTATGTCATTAACAGCTTATCATGCTTAATGCCTCGCTGAATCTGTTTGACTCTGGATGTGCTTTGATTACTCATCCTTGAGTCCAAGTTTTGTTTGTGTGTAGTTTTTGGCCCTGGGATGTAATAGTATGGGTTTCTTCAATGTTTTATAGATCCTTCAATAAAGTTAAGAAACAGTATGCTATAATCTTTGTGACTATGGAGAATATAGTCATGAGGATCATCTGCATCTATAAATGGGATAGATTGGAACCTACCTGAATATGATGACTTTGTGGCGAATCCCATTCTGTCCCAGTCACCAGCCATCAATTGGAAAGTGGTGGCCATATATTTCCCGCGGATTGTATACTATGAGATCATTCATCTTTGTTATAAGGAAGTCACAATTATTTCTAGTCATGGGATGTCAAATTGGATGCCTTGCGGTGTGTCATGAACTTCGAGATTTTTGTTTTGATCTTTGAGTGTAGTCAATGACACTCTTACTACCACCCGATTTGAAATCTAACGGATAAGAATGATTGTGACCCACTTGTAGCAAGAGTAAATGGTCTCTTTCTATACTTTCCTATGTCCCATCCTCACGACTACTATGGTAACTTTCTCAACTGTTATAATGACTGATAAACCTGACTAGTAATTGGTTGTTTGGAACTCAGATTACGTCAAATATGTTTCTCTTTCTTGACATATCTCATTTTGTTAATGCCTTTTACTATGAAAGGAGATTGCGCTTGGCTACCTCAGGTATGTATAGTATAACTGTAAAGTGTTCAAGCTCGATATGTTGCTGTTAGAACCTGTGAGAAAATTGCCTAGATCCTGATATTACTATGTATTACCAAGAAGTTTAAACTTCAAACTCCATACATCTGTTGCTCTTGTAGGTAAGATGCAGTTCTGTATTTTTTTTTAATTTCTCTCAGAATATATTTCTGCTGTAAAGTACAGGGTTGTGGCTCACAACAGAGTGTGGAAGACTACAAATTTGTCCTGGTGAAATAGTTGTTCTACCACAAGGATTTCGTTTCTCGGTTGACCTTCCAGATGGCCCATCGCGTGGTTATGTAGCAGAGGTGTTTGGTACCCATTTTCAACTCCCTGAACTCGGGCCAATTGGTATTAGTTCCTAATCATCACTTAGATCACTGAAAGGGAATTTTGTGAACTTATATTCAACATATGAGGATTTTGGGTATAACTTTTATGCTTATCGCTGCTTATTTCTTTAAGTTGTTACATGCAGGGGCAAATGGTCTTGCTGCCTCAAGAGATTTTTTGGTTCCTACAGCATTCTTTGAAGAGGAACATCATCCAGGTTACACCATTGTGCAAAAGTTTGGTGGTGAACTGTTTACCGCAAAGCAAGACTTTTCTCCCTTCAATGTGGTTGCTTGGCATGGAAATTATGTGCCTTACAAGGTTAGATATTTGAAATAAATAAGTTAGAGTAACTTTAATCTCTGTTTACATTTGTAAATCGTTGGTGGATATCTTAATAATAACAACAACAATATTCTTACTATAGAATAAGCTTATTGAAATATATGAGCTCTTTGATATGGAGTATTGATTCTTTGCAATATGGAATTTCTTGCAATATGCATATAAAATTTTTGCTACAAATATGTCATCATAATCTGACTTATCCACACCTTATTGCAGTATGATCTGAGTAAGTTCTGCCCCTTCAATACTGTTTTGTTTGATCATGGTGATCCTTCAGTGAACACAGGTTTAGAGCCTCTATATCCCTATGCAATAATTCTATAATTCGTTTGACTGCAATAACAGATTGATTTTTTGTGTCAATGCCATCTCACTGTAATTTATTATTTTTGTACTTGATGGTTATGTTGCAGTACTAACGGCACCATCTGAGAAGCCTGGCGTGGCCTTAGTTGATTTTGTCATTTTCCCTCCTCGTTGGTTGGTGGCTGAGCATACCTTTCGCCCTCCTTATTATCATCGCAATTGTATGAGTGAATTTATGGGCCTAATTTATGGCGGATATGAGGTAGGTAGCCTAATCTTTGGGTTTCAGTTTCCAAACAAAATATTTGTAAATGAGATAACATTTATAGGCCTCGAGAAAAAATCTTTACCATTCGAAAGCCTCAGAATCCTGCATGTTTTAATTTAGTTATTGTCCTATTTGCAGGCAAAGAAGGACGGGTTTCTTCCTGGAGGTGCAAGCTTGCATAGTTGCATGACTCCTCATGGGCCTGATACCAAAACCTTTGAGGTGGGAAATCATTTTCCAAGATTGACAAATTGATCCTGTCCTTCCATTGTACGAGTCTACTGGTTTTTTGTACAGTTGTTTGTAGTTTGGGAGTTTCAAAATCAGGTGCATTGCTTTCTTATGTTCAGGCGACAGTGTCATGTGAAAAGAGTTCTGAGCCATTCAGAATAGCGGACACAATGGCATTCATGTTTGAATCGTGCTTGATTCCTCGCATCTGTCCTTGGGCTCTCGAGTCTCCAGACCTGGATCCTGATTACTACAAGTGTTGGGTTGGCCTTAAATCTCACTTCTTAAGGAAGGAGGTGACACAATACGTGCAAAAGATTAACCTGAGTGATGGAAGAAACGCATTCTCGAGCAACAGAGGCAACGATCATTCCTGAAAACTCTCTCTCACTCACTCACTCTCTCTTTATATATATATATATATATAATAAAAAAAAGAGAGAGAGAGAGAATCCATGTGAATATTTTATTTCTATCTTCTTGTAAGAATCCAACCTGTAAATAATAGTAATACAACTTGCAAATAAAGTTTTCAGGCATCAGCAGAATCGAACTTGAAACTGAAAGAAGTTTTATTCTTCTCTTCCAATTGGTTCAAGTGACCATTTTTTTCAGAAAATATTATTAAAACAATCAGACTACATCAATGAACATCTCAAAATCAAGAGGTGGTCAAATCAACCCATTAGTAAGATAGAGGTGGTGTTATAATTTTATGAGTAATGATCCTATAGGTCCTGCTCCCACCCATGTGTGTAGGATTCCAAAGGATTACCATTAAAGTTGGCATGGATTTTTAAAAAAGTTATCACATGGGTGTGCGATTAGATTTTTTTATAGATCCGTGTCAAATCTAAAGACAATCCTTTGAGGTTTTACACACATGGGTGGAGGGTCTTATAAGATCATTTCTCTAATTTTATATCACATAGGTGGTGTACACTAGAGGAAGTTAGTGCGCCTGTACTTCTTTGGGGATATAAATGCACTTTTTATAAAAAGCTCTTATTTTGGGTATGAACCCGAAAGAAATAGGAGCATTTGCATCCTTGACTCAAGTTAGCATGAGCCAAAAACATGAAGCTACTTTACTTACAATATCCAAAACAAACATTTTTTTAAATAAAAGCTATTGTTCCAATTTGGAATTCAAAATAAGGGGATTTTTATTTATTTGAGCCATTTGTGGTGTTCGTCAAATTATTAAGATACATCTTGTTTAAGATTTCGGACCTTATACTGGGCCATTTATTGATAAATTGGTTTAACCCCCTTAGTAGATTTTGGAGATGTTTTGAGCATTTTAATGATATATGTATTTTATTTAGTTCAATGCTCTGTGGTGCATGCAATATTTTTTTTTATGTAGCCCCTCTTTTTTGAGCAGTGACTTTAGATTTGCTCAACCGTCTATGCCCTTAAACTCGATGCCACCAATATGGCCTTTCGCGAGGTGGGGACTCGATCTCATTGGGTTGATATCTCCTAAAGCAAATAATGGTCATAGATACATCATGGCGGCCACCGAATATTTTATCAAGTGGGTTGAGGCTGCGTCCACCAAAATCAAGGGGCGGCATGTGGCAAAGTTCATCAAGCAGAGTCCCCGAAACAATCCTCACTAATGGTGGGATGAACTTCGAATGAGACCATAACTCGGGTATGCAAAGAATTTGGCATAACCTAGAAGTTTTTGACTCCTTGCTATCCGCAAAGAAATGGCCGAGCCGAAGTCACCAACAAGTCCCTACTTAGGATCATTGACAAAATCATAACGAACGGGAAAGATTGGCATGAAAGGCTGCAAGAGGTTCTATGGGCTCATTGAACCAATGAAAAAATGCTTATGGGCATGACATTGTATACTGGCCTATACGCCATCGAGGTGGTAACGCTCATGGAAATCGACATATCTTCCCTTACGATGCTTGTTCACCATGCCTTTGATGACAAAGAGTTGCATGAGGCTCGCATCGCCTCCTTCACCATGCCTTTGATGACAAAGAGTTGCATGAGGCTCGTCTCGCCTCCTTCATTGCTCTTAATGAAAGGTGACTTGGGGCCTGCAACGTGATGAGAAGTTACCACAAGGGGGTCAAGCGAGCATACCTAATTGGGAAAATTTTAGGTAGGCGACCTGGTATTAAAGAAGATATTCCACTCGTCTGCCATCCCTCACTTTTTGGGAAAATTCAAACCTGATTGGAAGGGGTCATTTATCATAACCAAGACACATCCTTGAAACTCTTACAGGATGAAGGATTGAGAGGGGTTGGAGTTAAACGGGCCCATCAACATCACATGCCTTAAGAGATATTTACTGTAGGGGCACAAAAAAAAGAAGAAGAAGGAACAGAAAAAAAAAAGAAAGAAAAGATGGACATGGTGAAAACTCGAACAAATGGCTCATGGGTAAAAATGCCTGAATAATTGGACATGGTGAAAACCTGAAAGGGTGCCATGGGTAAGAAAGGAGACGACAGACAGTGGAAATACTATGGGTAAAAAAGTCACAATAAAAATAAGGGGAATAATGAAAACCCGAAAAGGACGTTATTACCTCAGGCCTTAAATGAAAGCCCAAAAGGGCATGTGAGCCCCAGTCCGTATAAGGAAGGGACTCTATCATCCAAAGCCCATGACAAATATGAGGGACAAAATACCTCCCCAGTCCACAGAGCAGTATAAGGGAGGTCTGAAGAACTAAGGACGGGATCCTTCGGACTCTGAGACGTGAGTTGAAGAGAAACCAAAGGAGATTGGTCAGGCTTGGATTTACGTTGCTCAGGCACCCCGGAGGTGCCCGGCTTGACAACCCCCTCTCAAACAACTACGGGGCCCACATGCGTGTGTGCGCACTTGTGCGAAGTGCAGATAGGTATCAATGGTGAGAGGATTTTAAGACGGCAAGGAGGGACTTGAGTACGTACCTCACCGGTTGGGTTCGTGGGACGCATCCTGGCCTTAAGCCCTCATAGATAATTTTGAAAGTCCTCCAGCTATCCTCGTAGTACGATTTGAACCAGGCCCCCTCACTTCGTTGTACAACACTAGAATTCACGCACTAATAATGGCTCTCGTAGTTCACCTCTTGTAACCTCCTCCTATTAGGTAATTATTTGGTAAATTGGGGGGGGGGGGGGGGGGGGGGTCCTAGTCTGAAGGTTAGAGGGATTGAGAGTAGATAGAAAAGAAGAAGTAGAGAAAGGAGACAACTGACAGAAGAATTGGGCTGTCTTTCGGCGTACCCTCTCATAAGAGGTATTACCAGAGACGAGAAAGATACTAGGCTTACAACCCAAGTATATCGGAGGATTTAAGGTAGTGAAGTCTGTGCGTCTAGCCCACCGAGAATTCATCACCCAAAGAGCCTCCTAAAGAGACTACTAGAAAGAAGAGAGCAGAGAGAGAATGAAAACGAGATAAAATGGAAGAAGAATAGAAGAGAAATAAGAAAGAGGCGAGAGAGAAGAAAACCTCTCACAACCCAAACACTTGAAGGGGGATAAGAGGACGATCTGATAGTCAAGCTCTCTAAGAAGCACCACTCAAAGACCCTAACTAAAGTGTTTGAATCGGAGAGAAGAGAAAGAAAAACTAGATCGAGATAGGTGAAAAGAAGAGGATGAAATAAAAAGAAAAAAGAGATGAGAGAGAAGAAGGGGACCTCTCACAACTCAGACACTTGAAGGGGGGTAGGAGGATGATATGAGAGGCAAGTTCTCTAAGAAGTCTTCACTCAAAGACCCTAACCAAAGCGTCTGAATCGAAGCAGAGAGAGAGAGAGAGAAGTGAAATGAAAATTTTAAAAGTTAAAAAAGAGAAAGAGTGAGGGAGAGAGAAGTGAGAGGGGGTAAAAAAAAAGAGAGAAATGAAAATTTTAAAAGTTAAAAAAGAGAAAGAGTGAGGGAGAGAGAAGTGAGAGGGGTAAAAAAAAAGAGATATAGAAGAGTGAGAGAGAGAGAGTTCACAAACTTAATATGGGTTCATGAGAGAGAAGAGTAAGAGGGAGAGGGGAAATTCACGGACCCCCACTGTGGGTCTGTGTGAGAGAGAAGAGATAGGAGAGAGAGGAGAGGTTGAGAGAGAGGGGAGGTTCACGGACCCACTGTGGGTCCGTGAGAGAGAGGAAAGGAGAAGGAGGGAAGAGATGAGGTTCATGGACCCACTGTGGGTCCGTGAGAGAGGAGAGAAGAGATGGGGAGCGAGACGGAGGAGGAAGAGAGGACAAGGGCATGAGCCCACCACGGGCCTGTGAGAGAAGGAAGAGGGGAGAGAAGTGAGAGTGAGGAGGTTCATGGACCCACTGTGGGTCCGTGAGAGAGATGGTAGGCATGGGCCTTTCGCGGGCCCATGAGAGGGAGAGAAGAGACAGAAAGGGAGAAGGAGCACATGCTTGCCATAAGCTCGTGAGAGGAAGAGAGAGAGAGAGATGAGAGAAAGGGGAAGAAAGAGAGAGAGTGAGAGCGCAGACGTGTTGTGGATCTATGAGAGAGAGAAAAGAGAGAGAAAGAGAGAGAGTGAGAAAAGAAAGAAGACATAGAAGGAGAAGAGTAAAAAGAGAGAAAGAGAGAGATGAGAGAAAGAAGAGAGAAAGAGAGAGAGAAGAGAGAGTAGACCGGGTACCTAGACTCTAGCCCATGGCTAGGTGTATCCTAAAGTCCCTTGAGTGCTCTTGAAGGTAGGTTTGAACCTTAGAATAGAGGGTTAGGGTCTAGGTTTGGGTATGAGTGAACCTAGGTGGGTTGGGATGATCAAGTGTATGGGTTTAAGGTGGTGTATGGGCAAGGCTTGGGGTAGTATGGTTTAGGGTGTATGATAGTCTAGGGAGTAAGGAGTAGGGAGGTATAGGGTGTATGGTAGTTTAGGGAGTAGGAAATAGGAAGATGTATGGTGTATGATAGTCTAAAGAGTAGACAGTAGGGAAGTGTATGGTCCAAGGGCAATTACCAAAGTTTTCTCTCTCCTCTCTCTTGAGCTTAGAAGTTAGACACAAACAAGAGCTTGAAGGGCAATAACTCAAATTTTTAATTGATCTTCCAAAACTAGGTTACAAATGACTCAATTCACTTATATAGGGCACCCATGAAATATTGGTGGAAGCCCAAAACTCACCAAAATTGCTAAAAAATAAACAATTAAATGAATTAAAATAAAATATCATTTTTGGCCAAAATGACCATTTTACCCCTTGACACTTTTTGAGATATGACACAACCATCCCTGTTAAAGGGGCCTCATGCCATTGTTATTTTTTGGGAGCTTTTTCGAACCTTTTCGTGATAATTTGGATGATCAAATATTGTAGAACTGCTGCTCGCATCATCATGAACATTTTGATGTCCATTATTTAGCTTGATTCGGAGTTTCGAAGTCAATCCCAAAATCTGACCAAGTTCATGAATTTGTAATTCGATCATCGATGTAGAACGATCTGTCTTGTCTTAACTCTTCTATTTTGTTACAAATTGATTGAGACTCGGTCATGATCATTTTGCAATAAAAATCGTTCGATTTGTTCATCATTCAAGCAATTTCCAAATTGGGGTGGTCTCTAGAA